AGTAACTACAGTAAATAATTACCACTTTGTTCTGAAACTGTATTGACAGTAGTTTTCATACAATCACATTATGTATCTTGGTTTGTTTGGTTTTGTTTTCTTCCAGGGTTTGGTATTGTGAATTGCCATGTTATAAATGATGTGAACTATGTTAGAAGCCATGATTCTGCTATCACATGTTCTTCTTCCTCACAGGAATAATTATATTGTCTTTACACAAATTAGCTTTGATTTTTAATCTGGTAGCTCAGAAAGAAACTCTAGATATTTACAGGATCCTAATTTCTGACTACACTGAGTTATTTGCTTTGTTTCACTGCATGGCTTCATAATTTTACTTTTTCTTACTGTATTACAGTTTCTTATTTCATTAAACCAGTTTAAAATAAAAGTCATAAATATTTAAGTTTCTGACTTTTTATTTCTTACAGTTTTTCAATGATGCACATAATTTCCTAGTGGTAGTCTTAGTTTTCATTTAAATTGTGGATGCTTTTCACAGTTAGGCTGTTCTAACACCCAGAGGCAGCTGTAATTCCAGCCCTCTTCTGGAAGTCACTAATTTAACACAAATGAAGATTACTCTGTGAATCTCAGCAGTCCTTTCAGCACCCTTCCTCACAGGCAACTTTTTGACAGAACAGTAAACTGATACAAAACCAGTTTTATTTAGTCTGTAAATGTCTTTTGGTTCATTTACAGATACCATCCCAGATTTTTTTTGTAAAATCAGTCTTGCACTGTAGTCACCATGCTAATACATTAAGTATCTTTTGCATCAAATTTTGGCTCCTCACTAGAGGTTAAGCTGTAAAGATTAGCTCCAATGTACCTTTCAGTCCATTATTTGTAGCTTAGCTTTATTCTGCTTCAGAAAAAATCTTTCTTTCTTCCTTACAATGATATCTACAGGTTAAGAGATTTATGTGAACCAACTGGTTTGAATGGAAGCAATGATGAAAAAATTAAGCTACCTGATTTCCTGTGTAATCAGATAACCAGAGATCTAATATCTGCACTTTATATCACCAACTCAGCTTTTCCATCTGGCATCAAGTAAAAAAATTGTTGGATGGGAAAAACCAGAGCCCTTATAAAGCAAAAGCCTAAGCCTCCAGCAGTTTTCTGGTAAATTAGGGTGATGTAACTCCTTAACTCCTAAATCTGTAATAACTGACTGAATTTTACTTTCCATGTACTCCTTTGGAGATAAGATGAAGAATAATGAGGCTTGCCAGAGCTCTTCAGAGTACTGCTTTAGGGGATTGATATGGTGTAATGATCAAGCAGCTGACCAGCTGCAACTACTAAGTGTTTCCTTAAGTGTTTAAGGAGCTTTTGTACCTTTTTCATCAAGCTTAATATTGTCCACGATACAAAAAGACATATTAGAGATTATTTAATTAGCAGCTTTTCTAGCAGCATCAGGAGAGAGGTTGAGATGCATTTTCAATACTGCTACTCTGGAGATGGGCATTCTGAGCAAGTGGACAAGTAACTACCACCTCTACAAAGGAGGTACTGCACATCTGTGGAATGGCCAGGGCCCTGCTCTTCTCTACATGTTTATGTATTGAGAAACTGGAGAGTTTATAAGGTTATCCTCTTGCTTTTTCTCCAAAGTAAAAACGTGCTCCACAGTGCCAGAGTTTTTAAAGTAGAGACAACAAATTGGAGTTTGATTTTCAAAGGCTCAAGCCTTTCCCAGAAGCTAGTCATGTTTGAAATGGAATAGGGTAGGAAATCAAATATAGAGAGAGCTGAAGCCACCAATCATGAAAAAGAAGTAAGCCAATCCTTCTGTCTTTAATACATAGGGTCCAACAGTAAATAACTTAAGAAATTCCTTTTCAATCTGAATTCAACATTTTCCTCTTGCTTTTGGCTCCCACTTGCATTATTTCCACTCCTTTCAAAGGTCCATTGGTGCAATGAGTCACTCTGAACTACAACACATGCTTTAGTGCTACCAGTAAAGTTTGTGCTGTGCTTTTCCTGTAAATTAATCAGGTACTTCAAGGTCCAAGCACCTTTTAATAGCAGTAAAATCCATATATTCTTCTCATAGCAGCTGATAATAGCAATACAGTGTTACTAAAATGTGTCTGGGAACCATGATGCTGCTTACTGTGGTCACAAAACACACAGGTCAATTGGATGCAGATACAATAGAGATTTACTTCTGCACTTAAATCTACTTCATTTTATCTGTTAATTCTAACCTGCCTGAGCAAGAAACATCTTGTATTGATTAACTGGTTTTGAAGACAATGAATGCTTTTGAAGTACCTGACTCAGGAAATTAGGTGCTTTCTGCAGTCTTGAATGCTATGTCAAGTGTCTTCTTTACAGGCTGAAGTTTGTATATCTCTTTATGTTCAGATCCTTTCAAATATTTTCTGTTTTACTTACAACTTCTTTTTCCTGCAGTAGCTACAGTCTCTGAGATGTGATTTAATGCTGCTTGTACAGCCTTTCACTGTGAAGCTGGGACATGCTTTAACCAAGCAATTTCCCCCTCCTACTCAAATAAACCATACATTTAAAAAAACCATCTCAAATACACAGTACACTTATGTTATGGGCCCGGTGAGGTATAACATAATGTCTGACTGTGAATTGCTTTTTTCATAGCCACAGTGTTAAGTAAAGAACAACAGCTCAGGTAAGAACTGGAAGGGACCACAATGTGTGCCTGTGCTCCCAGGGATTCAGGGAGTCACTGCAGCTGCAGGAGTCAGTTCTGGAAATTCAGAGTTGCTCCCGACATGCTGCAACCACACCACCAGTGCCCAAACCACAAGGCTTTTTCTCAGGCTACATGTCACTTCTGCTAGGTTGAGCTTTCCCATGACAAAATATTTCCATTTTTTTATTTGTCTGCACTGGTAGACAAATTTGTCATACAGTGTGCTGTCCAAGGAACTTGAGCTAATGACAGTAACTGAGAGAGGTAACAGGCAAAAACTCAGTCTGGGTATTGCCAGGGAATTCAATAATTATGGGCAGCCCAGTAATTGTGGGGAGTCCTTTGTTGTTGTAAAATGGCAAAGTGTTGGTGTTGAGATGATGTGGCTTTAATGTAGGTGCGGATTTTTTCAGTTGATGTAAATAAGTTCATGATGAAGATATATTTTAATGACAATTCAGCTCTCTAAGACCTATGACTAATCTACAAAAGGGGACGTTGACTATTTAATTTCATCAGTTTGAAGGGACTTTACATGAACCTGATATTAACTTACTCTTTGGAAAAACTTACAGCACTATATACTCTGAGCTTACATAAAGTAACATAACAAAGGAAATGCGAAGCTGGCATTGAAATCTGTGAATTTATACCCATATACAGGCAGTAGAGAGGGCAGTCAGGGTGATATACTTCCCCTTTAGAAGCCAAATTCAAACTTTAAGTTCCCTCAGCACATGGAAAGTTTGTAAATGGAAACTTTACCCTTTTCTTTGCTGTTCACTTGGGGTGGTAAGGTTTTAAGGGCAGTACTGTGCAGACAAGTCTGTGTTGACAGGAATACTGTGCTCCACACACTGCTTTGTAAAGGAGTGGCTGCTCAGGGTCTGCACATAGTGATCAAATAGATGACAGCTGCTCCTGTTTCTCTTTTTTATTCAGGGATCCAGCATGAGAGTTGGACTGTGAATACTGTGCTATTATTGTTGGCTCACAAATGTTGAGCTGCTGGTATTGATTTTCTGAAAAGCTGTTTAGAGCAGTAACAAAAATAAAAAATAACATCAAGAATGATGAGGCTTCACAAATAGCCAATAAAAGAATCCACAAAAATCTTAGTAAACTCTTGGGCTATTCAACCTTGACGTTGTCCTTTTCAATCTGAATCCAATCTTCTCCTCATGTTTTGAGAAGCCAACCGCATTTGTTTCTACCCTAACAATGCTCCACTGGCTCAATGAATCACTCAGCTACAGTTTGCACTTCTAAGCTTTCACACTCTACACAGTCACCCTGGGAAAGCAGAGAAAGAAATGGGTAGTGGAGGACCTGGAGTAAATTATAAAAGTCCTGTTCATCAGAAGAAATTTTTTCTGAAGTCAATGGGAGCTCACAGCATGGGGTGGCTGTCAAGCTAGACCCCTCATCAGGCCTCCTATGGACCTCCCAAGCATACATGCTGTCTTTTTGTAAAATTTAGAATTTACAGTATTTAGTTTACTCATGAATACATGAAAAAAACCACAGATTTTCATTATAAACTTTATTATCTTACTAAATTTTAAAAAATAAAAACACAAAGAGCAGTTGACAATCACAGTCGTTTAAAAAAAGCTATTTAATTTTTACTGTGAGATGATATTCCTCAACTGTAGCCAAAACTGACATATAATCATTCCACAACTCTCAAAATAAAAAAAATTAATTATCCAGAATTAAATGCTCCATATGTAAGCTTTCCATAATGGAAGTCCCTGAAGAAAACTGACCCTCAGTATCTGAATATTTCATTATTTCTGACACAAGGGACTTAAAACCACTACTTTTGTTTAAAACCAGAATAATTAGTCTCATTTTATTTCATTACATCAACATAAAACTAGAGTAATGCAGCTACAAATTAGGTCAAATATTTCTAGAACTACTGACTAAGATAAAAAATTTAAATGGGCAATATAATGTTCTTAATGGACAGATGGTAACAGCACTGACTACATGGGACAATGTCTTATCCTACCAGCAGTTCCATTAAACACACTGGGGAGTAAGTTACAGCATACAATTCAGCACAGTTTACCAGTGTCTGGCTGTGTGTTTGCACAGTGCCCTCTAAGATGGGGTCCCTGTCTGGGTATTACAAAAATACACATAAGAAACAGAAAAAATTCATGTGCTTTGAAATTTAACAAAAACATTGAGATAACTGAAATAAGAATATATCTTCAAGCTTCAACCCACTTTGCTTCAACCATTGTTGCCTTTGCCTGTGATTTCATTTCCTCCCAGGTGAATACAAATCATCAGTGTAAATCTATTCAAAGAGTCTCCGAAGAAAGGACTTTTTCGCTGGTGTCGATAACTTCATGGTTTTCTTTTTGCGCAATGGTTTCATGGGTGGCTTTTTCAGGCACATCACCTTTTGGGGAGTTTGTAGGCCTTTATTGAGGTCAACATGCTCATTGCAGAAATACTTGACATTTGCTTCTGAGAGATGTAGAAGCATGGTCTCTGAGAGATCCATACACTGTGCATGGACCCAGTGGCCAGCCCCGCTGGAGCACAGGATCATTGCAGGCTTGTTGAGTTCTGTCGAATAGAAAGGGACCCAGGTGTTGATGTCAATATTGCAACTGGCACAGCAGGTGATCCAATAGCCTGTTTCTGATTCATCTTCTTCATCATCTTCATTGTAAGTATCAGCATCGCCAGCATCAAAGCTATTGGCTTCAGCACTAAAACAAAACTCCTCCGAATCTTCAAATGGAGTGGAGTCTCCAGGGTCTTCACTTGATGTCTGACTGCAAGTTTGTGTTATCAGTTCTTCTTCCTTGTCCTCTTCTGCTCCTTTGCATCTCAAAATGTAGAAGTAGTTTGCATCTGGGATTATTTGTTTGTTGGCCCCTGGAATGCCCAGCAAAACAGACCCTTTACCCATATCACAGCCAAACCATATTCTGCAGTGTTTAATATCTGGTGTCCACTCTGGGCCCACACTTTCAACAATCTCTATCTTACTATCTTCCAGAACTATGGTGTTACACGCCAGCCGTTTCTGGCTGTCTGAGTGGTAGCCACCAACAAGGACAAATTCATTGTCCCTGATCTGGGTCACTATAGCACTTGACACTGATATCCCCCCTGGCAGGATGGTGCAGGTCACAGCCGGGCTGCCCAGGGGCAGGTCAATTTTTAGCTTGTACAAGTTGGGGGACCTGGTGTTATTTTGAAGTGAGTGGCCTCCCAAGATGTAGATTGTATCATCTCTGGCAATTGAAACATGGAAAGAAAGTCCATCTTGAAGTTCTGGAAGTATGTATGATGTACAGCATCCAAACTCAAAATCAATCAGAAACACAGATGGCAAACAGTCGACTACACTGTTCCATGTTTCAGTGGTTCTCTGTGCAAGAGGAGTATACGACCTCCCTCCAAACAGAACACTCATGCTTTTCCCCCGACTATAAACCACATTAATTGTATGCCCATATCTAGCTTCAGGCACATCTCCACCCAGGTCTTTCTCAATGCACTGGAATGTCATTTTCTTGCTAGTTTTGCTTATCAAACTTATAAAGTAAATCTTATCAGAAAGGTCATTGTTAGGTGTTTTACCACCATGGATGATATACTGGTACTCATCAGCCCTTGCATCTCTTCTGAGCGTGCAAAGAGCAGGGTAGCGGAGAGGGGGAAGGTAACACGAGTCTTTAGAGAAGAAGACAGGTTTCATTTTGAGCTCATTCTGCTTTATATCCAGAAGGAAAACACCAGTGGGGCAGGATCTCTTTGGCCATCCTTTTTGACCAAAAAAGAAAACATGCCCATCAAAATTCAGGAGAGAGAAGCCCGGCTGAAGCAAGGATGAGTTACTGATGGTGGTTATCATCTGCAGCGACATTCTGTCTGTTGACTGGGCCATACCGTGGCTGAGAAAATAAAAAAAAAACCCAAAACCAGATCAATTAGATCCTATCACAATTATTGTGATTAGATCCTATCACAATTATTTAACAACACAACTTGAATAAATCCTATGGAAGTTGCGCTGCAGCTCACTCTCTGAAACTCACACAGACACGCTTTTCTGCGTCTCAAGACATGAATCAAGCACGAGATGTGCACCATTTCGGCGGTATTTTGTGGATTTTGTGCACGCCGCGGGCTGCCGGCACACGGAGCCCGCACGCGGTGCGGCCGCGGGCTGCGCTGGGGCCGCTTCCCGGGGCGGGCGCGGCCGCTCCCATGGGAACGCGGGCCCGCGGACTGCTGGGGCCGGTAGTCCTCGCTGTGTGCCCGGCCCGGCCCGGCCTGGCCGCCGCTTCCTTGTCCCGGCCGTGGGGAATCGGGACCGGCGGGCTCAGAGAGCCGGGGCGGTGAGTGCGGCCGCGGGGCCGGGGCTGCTCTGCTGGCGGCGGGGCTTGGCCCCGGCGCGCCCGGGGCGGAGGCAGTGGCGCCGGAGATGCCGCAAGCCGGGGTTTCCTGCCCGTTTGTCGCCCCGAGGCGGGCGGGGATGCCGGGCTGGAGCCTCCCGGCTGCCGCAGACCCGGGGCCCCGAGTACGGGAGCCTCGCTCGGCGGGGCTCGGGCTCTCCCGGGGCGGCAGGAGACTCCCGGCCGGGAGCCTGCCCCAGGGCCCCGCAGCCAGCGGGCTGGAGAACCGGCGTGCACGGAGACTTGAGATTGCGCGTTTTGTTTACAAGGAAAACGTCAGGATTTGTTGATTGCATTTAGAAGGGGCAGGTGCCCGCTGTCTTTGCCGCCGTGCAGGGCTGGCTGGAGCGGCAGGGCCCGAGGTGAATCTCGGGTCGGGCAGAACAGCCCCGTCGGGGGCTCGGCCTTGCGAGTCCCGCTGCCGCGGGGCTTCGGCGGCGCGAGTCCTCTTCTGTCGCCTGAGCGCTTCGCTCATGCTTCCATCAGTAGGTTTCAGGGGGTGTCTTTTACTCTCATAAACCTGTTTGTTTGAAGACTGAAAGGAGTTTATGTAATCGGCCTGGATATTGACTGTGAAAGAGACTTGGAGAGCACAGACACCAGGGAGGGAAGTAACTGGCTGATTCATTGGCAGTGTCCTTTGGTGACAGCAGACTGATGCTCTTTAGTAAATGTCCAAGTTCTCTGTCCCAGCCTTTGCCAAATCCCCAGAATTTAAAGGTGTGAATGAAATATTAGGAAAAAAACCCACTAAACCCTACATTTTACAATGTAGTTCCTTTTTTTTTTTTTTTTTTTTTTTTTTTTAAGCTTTGGGATTTGTATTTTCCTTGCTGCTTTCATTTTGCTGCAACAACAAAAACAAGACACATAGGGTTTCTTTTTTAAGGAAGGATTGGTATCTTCTAGCTACATGACATCAAAACCTGGGAGTATCTGAACAACGTTGTGTAGAGGAAGAGTTGCTGTAAAAACATGGGAGCTGATGGCATTGACTGCATCAGTTGCCGTGTTGTACCATATTGCTGCACTGCCTGCCTGCAAACTGGTATGGGAACTGCTGTGCTAAAATAGTGATCTGCCATGGAGTGCTTTTCAAAGGTAAGATGTTTTCAGGCCAGAGCACACAGACAGGGTGTGCCATTACTGAGTTTGTTTGAAAAACAATCCATGGAATGGCTGTCTTGTCTTGTGGAATCATCCAAAGATCATGGTTGAGTTCTGTTCACTATATAGCCTAATGCCTCTGCCCTGAAGGTGCTAGTTTTTTCTACATTTAGATTTCTTTTTAGAAGTACTGCACTGTGGGTGAAGTTCGGTTATAAGTTAATTAAATTAGTGAACCCTTTTCTGAGCATGTCGGTATACACAGCAGGTTGTGTCCTTATTATGCATGAAGAAAGACTTATGAATTTATTTACCTTCAGGTGATATGCTAAACAGGAATCTCCTGCTTGTTTCTTACAAGCATTCAAAAATGGCATCATCAGAGGAGCTTGCACTGAATTAGGTTTACTTGAATAGATGTCATTTGTCTCTTCTTTCATATTGTCTGGTTAATTAGCTTCTTTGGTTATACGGGATCTTTAGAAAAGTAAAATGTCTTCCATACTGAAGATGCCGTAAGAAAATTTCTGTTCTATATGGGATTCTTTATCTTCTGCCTCTCCTGTTCTACATTTGGCTGCTGGTTTATATTTGAAGTCTAACGAGTGTATTAAAAGTGGCAAACAATTTAATTGACATTTTGGGACGCATCTTACATTTTTACATACACTTAGAGAATCTCCAAATAGGGCAATTATTAGTGTCCACAATGTCACAAACTATTTCCCAGATATTGAGCAGTACTCACTTCTGAAGAGTTCACTGTCTGAAGAATCTGCAGATACAGAGTGGAGAAAAGATCAGTGAAAATTATTTGATTGATAAACACACAGAACATACTGGTTAAGAACACTTAAACACACTTCCTTGTTGTCTCGTAATATTTCTTGAACTTTACATAAGCAAACAGTTAATATGTAATGAAGAGAATGTTTATCTGAGATTTTTTGGAAACTTTTTAAGAAGTAACTCCTTAGGCACTGACTGGAATTGCTTTGGCTTTCCATGTATTTTCCTGCTAATTACAGTGTGTCAATACAGCGTGGTTGCTCTTTGGCTGTGCTGACCTCTAACTCTAACCTTCCAATACCACTGATTCCTTTGGGCCATGGCTCTTCTAACCCTGAGCAGCTTCAGGGAACCCAAAAGATCTCACCTTATAAACAAAGAGTTTGAAGTGCTTTTTTGTGGCTTTATGCTCAAAACTGGAGTTGGATTAGCAGTACAGCTGGTGCAGAGGGAAGCAGACAAATGCCTTTGTTGTGGTGCAACACAGGATACCAGGGAAGAGACACTACAAGGAGTAATGAAGAGAAGGGGGGAGTTACATAAACAATTGCCAGCTATGATGACTTGAGTCATGCTTCATCATATTTGGTGTTTTTATAAAAGGTTAAGCTGTAAGGATTATACAAATAAATGAGAATCTCAGCATTACTTTTATAAGCCCCCTATTTGGGAAGCAGTAGAGACCTGAGCTAGAAACTAAGCTAACAGAAAGAAAAATACTAACATTCTCCCTGTTTATTTTAAAATCAAACAGTATTTTTAGCAGGTTTTTCAGGGTTGTTTATATGGCAAGAAGAGATTAAAACGAATTCTGATTTTGATGACTGCATTGGGACGTACATTTATAGAAGGATCCAGTGAAGACAGAAGGTGTTTTTCAAAAACACTAGCTAATGTAATTTGAAATGTGCTTACTATGGAAATAGGTGGACATAGTTACAGTTTTGGGTGATGTACCATTTCAGAAACCCTGTTAGGTGCTCACAGAGAAGTACAGGATGAACATGTTTTAGAGGCAAGGGGTAGCATGAGTGACCTAAACAGCAACTGACATTTCATATACCTTTGGAGAGTCTTCCTTGTTTTCTGACTTCTCCTATGGAAGCAAGTCTGCCATTGTTCTGTGTCCTAGATCCTAGTAAATTTAGGGTTTATGAAATGTCACTAGATAACAGTGTGTAGGCACTGAGTCATTCACAGACTGTTTATTAGTTACTGTCCTCTTTGACCCTATGCAGAAATGGTTTGTTCACCTCTGTGCTTTGCCTGTTACCTGTTAGTTAGGCAACAAAAACATTCCAATCAGGAGAACAATGACTAATCAGTGCTGCTGTTTAGTGTGACATCTCATATTTTTCAGCATTGAAAGTATTATTTATAGTAATTTCACAGTAATTTGAATGCTGCAAAATAATGAATGACTAATGAGTTGATCTTATGAACTGTAGCAAACACAAAGAACCTTTTTTCATTTATACAAAAATAAGATATTTGAGCTGCACTGATTGGACACTGAGAGAATGAAATGCAGGATATCATGGAGTCTTAGCTAGTAAACACCCATTGCTGACCATTAATTAGTTTGCAGTTATTTTGGTGAGAACACAGATACCTAGTATAGAATTAAATTGATTTTGCAGTATTATATTTTTTTTTATTTTTGACATGTAGGTTTTTTCATTTCCAGAATGGAAAAGCGTACCCCCGAGAAGCAAGTGCTGTTTCCAAATTGTCCACAATCAAAATCATATCCAGACACACAGAGAAGTTTGAAGTCCTCCATAAAGAAGCTTAATGAAGGAAATTTTTTATATAGTATTTCTCAAAACATTTTCTAAGTGTATCAACCAAGTTTGCTTCAGGCAAAACAGTAATTTAGACGTACCTGGCTGATAGCAGTTTTTTGTGTCCTCCGTAATCTTTCTGTGTAATTGGAATTCAAATGTGAGCAATGTGAGGAATCTTCTGTGACAGCCCAGGGGGCTCGTGGCATGAAGAGACAGCCTGATGGAGGGGATTCTATCTGCTTAATTTGCAGATGTGCTCCTGAGAACTCGATCTGCTGTGGCTAACTGGCTGTGACTGGTTTGTTTCCTTTCCTCTCTTGTCTTCAGATGGCACAACAAGAAACCCACCAGCCCCCAGAAGCTTTAACTCTTTGCTGTGAAAGAAGCTCAGGGTGACAGCAGGTGCCTCTTAGGTTGTAAATATCTGCAGCCTACATTTTTTATGGTTGATTTTTTTACGCTTTTTACTTTTACACCGATCAACCTTGTGATCATCTTCAGAATTTTTAAGTGCTTTTTTTAAAATGTAATTTAAAATAAATTTTGAGTTAAAACATAATTTCAGTAGGTAGTAAAAGAAAACAACTCTTGCTGATTGGCACACTACTTTCCCCAGGAGTGCTCTGCTGCAAGCAGGCAATGTCATTGAAACAGAGCAAAGGAAATGACAAATGCATGCAGTTCACTGAGTGAGGGTTGACTAAAAAGTCCAGCTCGAAGTCCACTGAAGTAATTAGAAATGTCTTTTTTTCTCCTTCGGTGGCCTTCTGATCAGACCTTGAAAGACTAATAAAACTTTGCACCCTTCTGTGGCATTTTTCATCAGTTTCACAGTGCTTTTCTCTAACACCAAATAAATAATGAGACGCTGGGAAGTCCACTGGGAACATATCCTTTCAACAGCTAGCAGTGCTGGGGCACAGAGGATAAGCCACTTGCATAACACAGCACAACAAATAAACAGAAAAACCTGGAAAACAATTTACTCTTCATAGCTCCCTGCTTTTGTTTTCTTGGCCCTCCTTCACCCACTCCTGAGTTACAACATCTGCTGCACAGTATTTTAGAAATATCTCAACTCCCATTTGAAACCGCTGTGAGAATAGAAATAGAAGGAACTTGAAATGGAATTTGATTAGCACAGCAAAGCAAACACACCAAATGTTTGTGAAAATTGTCTTGAGACACTGAATAACTGTAATGCAGATAGGATGTGGTGATGTTTCTCATCTGAAATACAGCCGTGCTAAGGCACTGTGCCCTGTAGCATCCATATGGGCCTTTTCTTCTGAAACAAAGATAAAAGGAAATTGTAGTGCAGAGTTGAATGCTGAAGAACTTCCCCCAAAGTTAAGGGCTTTCAGATCACATTTATTTGTATTTTCAGTAGGGCCTAGATAATACTCACCAGCTTTTTATCTAAAGTGTTTGATGTATTCTGACCCTTGTTTGGGTCTGTGGTCAAAGATCTATCAGCCAAAAAAACCCCAAAATCCAACAAATATTTAAGTGAAAAATCTAGTTCCCCGTTGTGTAACTTTAATATTTTACATTAATTTTAGACTTTTTCTACCAGTTGACATGCCTTATCATTAGAAATTCTTTTTCCAATTACTGTGGTTGAGAAGATGGAGAAGTTAAATTTTTTTGGCAACAACAGCATGTCATTTTTGGATGAGGACATGGTCTGTCCAAGCTGGTCTCTGTCAATGACAAAGTGCTTTGGAGAAGCTGCAGCAAACAGCTTCAGATTAATGTATCTACATGGTAGGGAAATTATGTTCAAAACCGTCCTGGTCATAGCAAGAAGATTTCCATCCTGAATTTAACTGGCAGAGAACCCATGTGAAAATGAATAAATAGACTTTTCCTTCACAATGTCTATTTTAATAACATGAACAGAGCTAGTATGTTTTCAGCAGATTGCTCACTGTTATGGAAATGCTTTATTTCACTTGATTTTCTTCTTCTACAATTAATTTCTTAAAATAATGTGTTGTTTGCATCTTCTTCATCCCAAATCATTCCAAATTGCATTGAGATATTTCCAGGCTTTTCAGCATATTTTCTGCCAGTAAAACACATTCATCTCTGAGCTGAAATGTAGCTGGCTTCCTGTGGGTTGCAGTAATGCACTCCAGCTCAGCAGGGAAAGGGAAGGCTGCCTTACTCATTTGTGTAGGGTTTGCCAGCCAGAATGCAAATATGCTGGGTACTTAGCCAGGACCCACAGGCTGAAACCTGTAAAAAAGGGCACAGGGAGTCCAGCATCCTACAGTCTTCAATTTTCTGTTTCATCTAAAACTGACAGTAAACAGTATTTAACTTGTGAGGGAGAGGGCTTTATTTGGAGGGCTTATCAAAAATATCTGATTGAATCCAGCTGTGCTTTGACTGTCAGTTCCTGGACAATCACATTCCAGGGTCCACTGGCTGCTGCAGTTTGGATGAAATGTTGCCCTTGCCATGGGCCTCCAGGTTGTCTTTAAAGCGAGCAGTACTCTTGAAGCCATTGGAAATTCATAAAAAAAATTCTGCTCAGGTATGGGACTGGCATAATAGCACTGAAATCCGAAAGAATCAATATGCTTGCTTGCAATTAAAGCCCATGGATATATCCTTTAAAAGCTCATGTGAGCTGGGCAAGAGAGGCACATATTTTTGTCCATCTAGAGGTCAGCTCTCAGGCTCAGTAATGCATTCAGGCAAGCAGATGCAGCTCCCATCCCCACAAATTGCTGATGCATTAAGTGTGTGCCCTTAAGGCCTCCTGCTGAAGGCAATGGCAAACATCCAGTTGATTTTAACAGGATTAGCTGTCCTAGATCACATTGAATTGAGAGTTGTTGGAAGGAGCCTCATCTCAAAGTTTTTGTCCTTTGTAACTTATAGTTTTTTCCTCCAGCTGGGTTGACCTGCACCTGCTTGTGGCCAGAACTTGGTGCCTCTGTGTTTGCTCTGGAGCTCTGCCACCCCACAGGTGGTGGTAGCAGGGAGGAGGAGGGAGAAAAGTAGGGTAGGGCAGTAGAGCAGGGAGGGCTTTCTTCTGCAAGTGTCGATTTGCAGATGTCTAGACAAGAAGGAGGCAGTTTTCTGCCTGCAGGAAAATGGGTAACTGCTTGACTCAAAATGTTCCATGTCTTTCTTGAGCAGGAATTCCCAGAATCGCACCTTTCACCTGGCCTACTTTTAAAGCACCATCCTGGGATGTTTGTTAAGGCAGCAACCACGGTGCATAGCTAACAACCAGCATTTGTTAAGGACGGGCTTGAGTTCCAGCTTTGCCGGCCTCTTTGCACCGTGGGGGCTGATGATCAGCGCTGCAGGCTCCAGCTGGGCACCGTGGGTGTAGGGGTGCCCTGCTGACACCTGCTTTTGCAGCGTGCAGGAGGCACAGCTTTCTGGGCCATTTGTGAGGGTGTTTCTGATGAGGCTGTGCTTTCAGGGTTGCATAAGCAACTATGACAGGCTGCCAAAGGGGCAATCCTGCATCCTTGCCTTGCTCACACTGTCCCCTTGTATAGGCAATCGTGATTGTATGGCTGAAAGGCAGATTGGAAAATACATCTTTAAAACAGAATATTATATGCATTTGCTCTGTTAACTCTCGGGTTTTGTAGTGGTGGTTTATTTTGTCTGCCCAAGAGATGGACTGGAGTGGTAGACCAGAGGGTGAAGAGAAAGTGAAGGTGGTGGTGGCCTTTTTGGGAGCAGCCAGAACCTGGATAGACTTAAATTGATTCTGAGTGCACTTGTCTGCTAAAATCTCAGTCTTTTTGCAATGCTGCTACCTCGTTCTTCATTGCTGCAACAATTTTGTTAAAGGTGTAGTTACTGTGATAGCTCTGTAGGGAAAAAAGGCGCGGCGTTGTCCAGTGGTAACAGAGTATAAGATTTATAAATAGTGTATTTATGTTCAATCTGATTTTTGCAGACATAATTATAAAATTTTGATAACATATGTATCTAGTGGATATTTTTCTTCCACCTATAGGTGAACTATTAAAAAAAACCCCCATTTATTAATCAGCCTTTTTTTAAAATTGAGAATGACTTCTAGGAGAGCAAATCCATAGAGTGAAAACCTGGCTTGAACCTATGCCAGAAGTGCTAGTGAAGTTGGTTTATTTTCCCTGAAAAATTAAATTACATAAGATTTTATTGAGGTTGCAGAGACAATTACCTTTACTGCTCTTTCCTTAAAAAAAATTCATAATCTTGATTTTTCTTTCATTGCCTCTGTTGTATTTTAAAGAAACATAAAGCACTTAAAAATGCAACGTAAACCAGGAAGTTCATATTCCACCACACTTTGTGTTGTTTAATAGAATTAATCACTGTATAATTGAAATTATGCTAATACTCACTTGACCTGCCTATTTGATTCAATGCAGAGATTTCTGATTTGTTTTAAACTTCTCAGAAGAAGACTGTGTTTTGAGAAATAAAATTGATTTTTCACAATCTGCTGATGATCAGCAAGGCTTAATGAGTGATCGCCTCAAGAAACCTCATTAAAGTCATTTGGATGGATGAGCAGGAGTGAAATGCAAAAAGAAGAAAGCGTAGTTGCTGCTTGAATGCATCACTTGCTGATATTTGACTCTAAAAGTATCCAAAGCCAGCATAAGGAAAGGATCAGATACTCTTGTTTTACTTTCCTTGACACTTCCAAGTTAGTTTGATTCCTTTGGGGAAAAAAGAAGATAAGTTTTTTTATTTTAATAGTATTTATTCTTCACCAGAACAGTGCAGTAATTTCATTCCTTGAAGTGTCATTGTATCAACTTTTTAAATTGTGGAGGATTCAATCCACTACTGTGTGTTTTTTCATTTTTTCAGGATGGTTTAAAGAAGTCATTGCCTTGAGGCTGTGAATTGGGTGTTTGCTGAAGCTTTTATGTGGAATGTACTGGTTAGCTCCTTAGCAAAGGTGAGAGTCTTCTGGTCAGCCTGGTTTCAGCTGTTCACCTCACAAAACTTTTCTGTGGTTGACATGGTGTGGTGATCATTTAAGAGAGACTCTGGAATAAAATAGGTGGGAAGCAGCAGAAAACCAAGTGGAATGAAAATGAAAAAAATACCAAAGCCTTGATGGGTTGAGATAAATTTTTCAACATCCTTCTTGTACCATGTGTCCTAAGCACATGTTCAGTTTCATGAACTGGGATAGTAGATGTTCCCTACCTACCATCATCTGCACTTGCTGTTATTTAGGGCCATGCTGCAGCACTGGGCAGTTCTGGAAAATGCTTGCAAACAGGGAACGGGTAGTTCTGGCTGCCAGTCTCTCCTCTGTGAGAGAATGGCTGTTTTTCTGACAGAACCTAGGCTTTCATTAGGACCTAGCTGGTTTTTCCTCTCCGTGAGGAGATGGTTCTGTAGACCTCAATAACAGCTGTGCAAGGGAATATCTGAAGTGAATTTTCCCACATGCTGTAGCAAGTAGAAGCTGCACAGCAGAGTAAGAATTGAAATACATGATTTTGGAACCACCTGGTCTGGGTGCTGAATCTCAGGCTGGTGATCTGGTGGCTGTAGATCATGGCTTTCACAGAGAAAGTTATCATGCAGATGGTTAAGGATATGATTATGCCCCCAAAATGCATATTAATTTTCTAGTTTCCTAGAGCATTTTACAGTGAATTAATGTAAGATTGGCTGTCAGCCCTCCACTAACTTGTTTTTAAATCATTTCAATTCCTGGTGACTCATTTTTTTAATCTGTTATTAGGATTTCCTTATGGGAATGTTTTAAACTTTATTTTGTTAGTGTTTGTAAGGGAGCTGGAGATCCTAGACACCAGACTTCAAAGAAAAAGTTATTAACTTTTTCTTGATTAGATATATATATTTTTTCTTTTACAATAGCCTTACAAATCACAGCGCTGTTTCAAGTAATGATTTTAATAACCTTAATGAGGAATAGAAGGCACTGCTTGCCTCTCAAAGCCCTGTAATAGACATAAACAACTCTGAGAGTCTGGTGAGTTATATTCTGCTTTGTCAGTCCACAGAGAGATTAATAATGGCTGGATTTTTTGTAAAACATTAGAAAACTTAAACTTTAGGTCATATGGGTGTGCATGTATTTTGATATCTTCAGAACATTAGTCTTCCTTGGAAGCAGGCAATGCAACAAAATTAGAGCTTTATGTTAGAAAGCCTGCTTTATTTTCTTTCTGGTCTCCAAACAATTCTTTTTCAATGTTATTTAACTTCAGTATCAGGTTGGCAGCCTTTCCTTAGTATCGTTGAAGTTTTGGTGAAGAATTAAGCTTTCATACCCCAAATCCAATTCTTAGTGTCATGGTAAATCAGGAGAGGCGACAGAGGAACAAATGCAAATCAAGCACTTCATGTATAATGCATTCCTGCATCTTGATCAGCTTTATGTGTGCAAACTGATTCTATTAGTGTGGACCTATGTGTATGAAAAATAAGTAATATGGGTAATTGTTTAGCATCATGCAGATGTTAACATGCATTTATATAGATTTTATGAGTTAGGAGCAAGGGTAGCTTCAGCAGGCATCACCGAGGGCTGTTCAGGACTGTAGAGTCTGGTTAAGTGATGAAGGTGGGCTGCAAAGCTGTTGCTGTGTGACTGGAGAGTGGAGCTCCCTTCCTTCAGCTGTCAGCATTTGTTCCCTTCTCAGGAGTGGTCCTCTCATTCCTGCATGGCTGTCCAGCTCCAGCATGCCCTCCCTGCCCTGTGTGCTGCCTCAGCACACACACACACGTCATTGTGATTTAACATGTGCTCCAAAATCTGAGTTTGTGGCTTTGATGGTACAGTGAGCAGTGCACCTGAAGATGATGGATTCAGTCCAAAATTCGAATGTGCAGCTGTGTCCTGGTTGTTAAATACAACATGCTGATGAGGGGTGTCATGGTTTCTGCAAAGAAGGCAGGGTTTGAAAGACTGAACAACTTAAGGGAGTGAACAATACCAAGAGAAGCTGGCTCTTCTCTGGCCCATATTACCCAAGGTCATAGATTTCAAGCATAAGTGATCACAATTTCTCTGTCTATACTTAAAATTTCTATGTCCATGTGAATTTAGGAGAAATGTTGAGTAAAGTTCCACTGACTAGATCAGAACTTCACAAGGAGAGAAGAAAAATTATACTTTCTAGTGCCCATCTATGTGAATTGGAGACTTTTCTGTTGATTTGTTTTCTGCCTGCAGGTATTTATAGCTTTTTTCTTTCTATTGCAGAAGCAGCCTACAAAACCAGATATACCTCTTCGAGTCTCAAGGTGTGGATGATCATGGGAGAGCAACTGTTAAAGAACAGCATCCTTGATCAATTTATTAATAGCCATGAGCAGTCATATGAGGAATTTCTAAGTACATTCACATATCTTTTGAAAGGTATGTAATTTCCCAAATCTCCTGTTAGATACCACAGACAGAAGGAAAGATAAAAAGACAAGCGGTGGTATTTAATGTCGTCGTGCTACTCACCTGCTTTGTAACTTTAGGCAAATCCTTGTGATGCTTTTGTTTTTCCACTCAGCAGTGGGAACCCTAAGGACAACTTTCTACAGATTGTTTCCCAGGCTGCTGTGTCTCTACAGGTGGTTAGCCATTTATGCTTGCTTTAGGGAGGAGGGGGGAACATGCACTGTTTGGAAGGATTGATGTTTCCTAAGTACATCTTGCATTGTTTTGCTTGAGAAGTCTCCATAAAAGAAGAGCCTAAGGAAAGTACTTAATAGTGTGAGATGGCCTGAGATTAGGAGTGTGCAGTTTGGGTACTTTTACAGCTTTACTAACAGTAGCCCACTGTGCTGTGCCTGTGTGTGTGCCTTCTACAAAGTGATTGCATTCTGTGATGAAACAGCTACCTAGAGGGATGTGGATATTGTCTAAATTTATTTCAGCAAGGCTTTCAACACTGTCCTTCACAAAATCCTTGTAGACAAACTCAAGAATTATGAGCTGGATTAATGGACAGTGAGGTGGGTTGAGAGCTGGCTGAGTGGCAGATCCCAGAGGGTCATGATCAGCAGCACAGGCTCTGCTTGGAGCCGTGTCACTGATGGTGTCCCCCAGAGTTCAATACTGGGCCCTGGTTTACTTGATTAATTGATGACTTGGAGGCAGAGGCCTCCTCAGGAGCTTCCCTGCAGACACAGAGCCAGGAGGAGTGGCCCATTCCCCAGAGAGCTGCGCAACCCTTCAGAAGGGCCTCGACAGGCTGGAGAGATGGGCAGAGAGGGACCTTCTGAAATTCAGCAAAGGCAGGTGCAGGTCCTGCTCCTGGGGAGGAACAACCACCTGCACTAGCACGGGCTGGGCGCTGAGATCATAAAAAATAGCTCTGTGGAGAAGGACCTGAGGGTCCTTGTGGAAAACAAGCTGTCCATTGTCAGCGCCACCAGCAGTGGCCAAGAAGGCCAATGGGATCCTGGGGTGCATCAGAATATCATTGCCAGCAGGTCGAGGGAAAGGATCCTGCCCCTCTCCTCAGCCCTGGTGAGGCACATCTGGAGCTCTGTGTCCAGTTCTGGGCTCCTCAGGGCAAGAGAGACTTGGAGCTCCTGTAGCAGGTCCGGCAGAGGGCTACAGGGATTATTAAGGAACTGGAGCACCTCACTTAGGAGGAAAGGCAGAGGCAGCCTGGCCTGTTCAGCCTCGAGAAGAGATGAATGAGAGGGGACCTTATCAATATCTGTAGGCTTGTGACAGGAGGGTGTCAGAGGATGGAGCCAGGCCTTTCTCAGTGGTGCCAAGCAATAGGACAAGAGGCGGTGGGCAGAAACCTATGCACAGAAGTTCCACTTGAACACGAGGAAGAATTTCTTTACTGTGTGGGTGACTGAGCACTGGAACAGGCTGCCCAGAGAGGGTGTGGAGTCTCCCTCAATGGAGATACTTAAGATCTCTCTGGATACAATCCTGTGCAAGGTGCTCTAGGATGACCTGGCTTAAGCAGGAAAGTTGGACCAGGTTACCCACTGTGGTCACTTCCAACCTGACCCATCCTATGCCAAGCTAACAGGTAACTTGGATGAAGTTGCAGCAGGACATCAGATAGATTAGGCTGAAAATATCTCATGCTCTGCAGAGGAAATAAAAAGTGGAGCTTAACCTTGGATCTGAGCATTGCTGTATTACAGAATTCCAATTCTGTAGCTCAGGTTCACATTTTTAAACCATGTTCAGACAGGTACCATAAAAATAAGTGCAAGCTACATATTACTCACAATTCTCTTTACCACTGCTTTGCACTAGAAGTGATGTCCTCATACTATTGCAGAAGCACTGTATTTTTCAATTACAGTGTGTGGCATTCCCCATTGATTGGTACTCAAAAGTCTGTCCTGTCCTTATCCTTGAGGCACAACTAAGTGTCAGTCACAAGCACTGAGCAGAAAACCAGTGGGGGAGCTGAAGCTGCCACAGGAATAATCTTGTGGCAACTTTCTATCTCTCCTGCCTATAAAATATAGAAGAGAAAGGAGACACTGGGGGATGAGATAAGAGGATTGAAAATCCGGTTCTGGTCTTCTTATGTATGATTGATACACTGGGGATAGCTCCTATCATAGAAGCATGCTGCATATCATGATGCTACTTGCAAAAAGCCTCAGCGTGTATTTCAGTCACTTTCACTGTCACTGTAGGCATTTGCTGCTAAAATCATATAAAAGGTAGAGCTTTACCTGAATCAAATGCTTGGAAATGCAGGTTCTTATGATGGTATGAAGTGAAGAGCTCAACTTGTTTTCCTCCCACTTTCATTTTCCTTTAAAAGTACCCAACGTGCTGGTTTGCATTATAAACTAGTGACCTGAAAAAAATCTACTTAAAGCATAAAACATACATTGTCATCTGATAGATTTTGTCTGTCGTAACACTGGAAACAGAAAACACACAAAACTAATTGGATTCCATTGATTTCACAGAGTAACATATTTACAGAAGGTGATTTTCACTTGTGCATGAATTTATACTGGGTCTGCAGTTGGCATTGCAAGGATATTTTCAGCTGAATTTTCTATTTTATTCTTGAAAACATCTCATAAGAATCTGATACTCTAGTGATTTAGAAATTTTTATTCATATGTTAAATTTACACACAGTGAAGCTGTAAAGAATATACCTTGAGTAGAAGGACACAAGCATCCTTGGCTGTTCTGGCCTAGCTAAAAAGGACCTTTTGAGGTTATAAATAGCCTGAAGTGATTCCCTGTGAATACATTAGGGCCTTCTGCTGAGAGTAGAGTTTCGTTCCTAAAAATGTGGGAAGCAGGATTAATGAATTTTTGCATTCCTGACTTCAGTTTGGCTTTTTAAGAATTGCTAATATCCCAATCAAGAAAATCACATTTTTAAGATGTTGTCTTTTTATTGTATCTGAATTTGTGATATTACCTTTGACTACTTCTATTCTTCCTTGTGCTGTTTGGAAAGCTACTCTCTTGGTTCACATAGAACAAGATGTGGAGTCAAAATAAGTCCTTCTAAATTCTGTGTAATTGGTTTCATGATGTGTGTTTGGTTTAAGTAGTACAGAGATATGTTATAACTTAGCTGGACCATAAAATTACATCTTTGATATGGAATTTTAATCTTCCAGATTTTAGTATTCCTAAAAATCCCAGTGGTTCTGTTTTTTAAAATGTGTTTGGTGCAGTGAGAAAATGAGAGTTCATAGACTAATTGACAAGTAAATCCTCCAGTAAGATTATTTCCTCACGTTTACAAATCTGATGGAAAATAGATAATCATATGTAAATATATATTTTAAAACTCTGATCTCAGCATATAAAACATACTGCTCCAACACAACATGACCTATATAGCTTAACGAAATAATATTTTAAAATTATAGGAGTACTTCCTCCATAAGTGGATTTTTTTTAAAACCTTTTTTATTGATCTGTAATGGATGTGCCTTTGAGGGCCAGGTTAAGATTCTAGTTAAGTCTCTTTATTTTTTCTTATTTAGAGCATCCAAAGTGTGTTTTTTGTCATAGGGATAATATTAACAAGATGAATATATGGGCAAAAGGGCTGGTGAACCCATGGGAATGTAATTTAGTAAATTAGAGCATGAATCCAGGAAGATGAAATCTTTCGTAGTCGCTGTAAAGCTTTGCAGTTGAAGGAGCCTCAGAAGAGCTGAATTTACAAAGGAGTGGATGATACAGATTTCTGCAGATGTGGTCAATGAGAGGTGTGTTCAAAACTACACACTTTCTAGAAAAACTTTGGACAAAATCTCATGGAAATCCATCCAGCCCCACTTTTGAAAAAGTTGCCACAGAGGACAAAAGCCTATTTCAAATCTTAGGGAGAGCATTTGAAATTTGGTGCAAAGCTATGATGATCAAAATCAGAAGGCAGCACCTGCTTATATTTTAAAACTCAGAGGAAGAATGGAAAATTCACTGGAGCATAAAATATCTCATTTGACCTTGTAGAAAAAATACAGGAAAAAAACCCCAAATGGTCCAAGCTTCAAAATTTTCATCTAGATTTTAAATTGCTCCTTTCATACTTCTAAAAAATGGGATTAGGAATCATTCAGCTGGATAGGAAAATGCTGCCATGAACAAAATTCTTACCCAAATCCAAGTTAAGATTTGCATTTTTTCCATGGTTCTGGGAATTTTACCACTAGGATTAAATGAATTCCATTCCTGCTGTTAATTATGCTGTATTTCATACACCTCCCACTGCCTGACAGTGTGATGAAGTCCAGGGAGCTTGATTAGACCCATCTAAGCAAGCTACAGCTTGGATTGAAACTTAGCCTTGGTGCTGTTGTTTTGATGCTTCTGTGCTGAACGAACTGTCAAGTGGAGGAAGTTTGGAAGTGACTGATCGCTTCTGTGCTTACAGGTGCCATGCCAGGGCCATATTCTGTGTTGTGCTCAGATTAACTTAATTCCCCAGTGGAAGCTGGGCAAGGTGTTCAGTTCACAGTCCATTTGGCTGTAGCTGTCTGCTTCCTTTTTACATTAACCACATTTAGGAAAAACAACAACTTTAAACTTCCCATATAAGTGTCAGTGGGGGCACTTTGCAAATGTCAGTCTTCACAGCAGAAAGCATAACAGAGAACTATACGAGAAGTGACAGTGAATGCACTTTTATTTTAAAATGGACCAGTAGGACAATGCTAACCCCAAGAGAAATTTCAACCTAAGAGTATATTTGCCAATAAAAGCAACTAGACAGTTCAGTAAAATGAATTAAATTAATCTGTCATCCCCAGGGAACTTAAACAGGGCATGAAATAGGGAAGCAGCGTCAATTCAGAGCTTTTTATTGATGTGTTGTGCTGGATCATTTGATAGAATTGGTTGGGAGACAAAATTTGCAGTTTTCTATTGATTATAAATTCAGTAGCTATCTCT